TATTTTCTAGATCTGACCACCTTTTGACACTTTCCTCTTTGTAAAAATCAAATCACTTTTCAAAGACCAAGTTTTCAAAACATCGAAGGAATAAGAAAATGCCGCTGCTCGATATTCCAAAAAAGAGTTTCAGGAATGCCATCATCAATGGAAACGACGTTGTTTAAAGGAAGTGGCTTTAGAAGGTAATTAACTCGATGTAGATTAAATGCCGAATTTTATGTATTGTAGTATTTTATCGCATTCGTCCAGATATGTTTTGTTAGACATCATATATATATATATATATATATATATATATATATATATATATATATGTGTGTGTGTGTGTGTGTGTGTGTAAATGAACAGATCGTTAACGCCGAACAAAGAACGCAGTTAAATACGCGATTTAAAAAGCAAATCCAGAAAATATTACCCGACTGTAAGAATCTTTCGGAGATAATGATTTACTCATACAAGGCATATATATTGACCCATAGATGAGAGAGATGATGTGGATTCATACCTTTCTGCTGTTACATAGATCATAAGCCAAAATTATTCGATGTTTATGGTTAATCTTACTATATTTTGAGACAACATAAGTCGTTCTTGTGAAATACAGGACGTTGCAGGAATCCACTAACTTCCTCATGTCTCTACGATAGGGAAGCTACTCAATGCAAAAAAACTTTAGAGCCAAAACTCTGATTTTGGTGACAAAAAAAACTTTTTTTTATAAATGAAAAGATTCGATGCGATAAAACTTGAGCGTTACGTGACTTAAAGATACATTAGATATCTGATATCAGCTATTAATATCATCCACTGTGTTACGATGACATAAAGTACTCAAAATACATGGGTACGTTATCTAAAAGCTTATTTTCAAGACAGGTTTTAAGCTTCAAATACAACTGTAGCTAACTGAAACATGATAGTTGTTCTTGAAATGATTACACAAAATCTGACCCCACCAACTTATATACCCTCCCTAACAATATGCAACTAGTATGTTTCGGTCTCCAGTATATAGAAGATAATGAATATATATGACTTTGTCCCTTGGTTCATAACGGTAAAGTTTGAACAGATTACTTGCATTGTGACATCAAATTTCCACGCCAACCGACTAAACATTCAAACTGCACTGATAAATCATCAGTTATCTCCCTTAATATATTAGAGGTATAAAAGCACCCTGTAATATGCGTCAGTAGACGAGTAGTCACAGTTAAGACAATTAAGCTTTGATATAAGTTTATTCACTGGTTCTTTTTTTAACTATTTCATTGTAAAAAGATCGTAAATATAAAAAAGATCCGAGATACCGCTTTTAACAGCATATTCACCTTTAAATTATCACTTATACAACTGCTGGCTTTCGTCATATCTCGTTTAAATGATTAAAATTGATAATGATCAGAAAAGAAAAACATTTTTTACAATAAATTTGTTCCTGATATCTAATGCCTTAGATCATAAAAAGAATTTATTATAGATCTTGAAAATCCTCCCCTAAATCGTTGTCGTTGTTCGACGATAAATATATTCACTCTATCTCGTTTATGACTTAAACCGCACTTCAAAGTACTATTAAAAAATTTATTTAGGTAATATAAAATAATAGAAGCAAAATATTCGGGAAATAATATAAAAATCTTCATCTAAATCTCACACAGCAAAGATGCCATAAACTCTTCTTAGAGTTTAATGATATAAATTTTCATATTTCGGCAACTTGCCTTGACTCCAGTATTACATATTCTTAGACTGACTGCAAACGGCTTCTTTTTTAAATACCTCTAAACTTTGATCTCTACATATATAGTTATGGTTTAGTTTATATAGTCAGCAGGGCGTACGATTAACTCCACCCCCCATTTGAGACTAATATTTTAAAGAATACTTTATTTTTTTATTAGTATTATTATCTCCCACTTTTTCCGTAGAATTGTCCAACAGACTTGACTTTTTTTCAAAAAACTATCTCGGATCCACTTCTTCAGTCCGCTTTCTTTTCTGGAAATTGTCCTTGTAGGTTCCACAACTTGTTGTGCTGCTAAAACATCAACAAGAAACATCATATAGCATTTTATCAGTTCTCCACTGTTTCAGGACTTTCATTGATGAATATTCTTCAAAAAATCATAGTGCATTTAAAAAAAATCTTTTTCTATTTCAAAATGTTTGTTCTTTCTTTTCCTCTTTCCTTTTTTTTTCTTAAAATTATCAATATTCTCACACCCTTGATTTCTCCATTCTTTCTCACATTTGAAATTAGCAATATCCTCCAACCCTTACCCATCTCAAACTCTTTTGTTCTTTCTTTTCCTCTTCCTTTTTTAAATTATCAATATTCTCACACCCTTGATTTCTCCATTCTTTCTCACATTTGAAATTAGCAATATCCTCCAACCCTTACCCATCTCAAACTCTTTGTTCTTTCTTTTCCTCTTCCTTTTTAAATTATCAATATTCTCACACCCTTGATTTCTCCATTCTTTCTCACATTTGAAATTAATATCCTCCAACCCTCCAACTCTTTGTTCTTTCTTTTCCCTTCTCAATATTCTCTTTGCTTTCTTTCTTTCTTTTGAAATTTTCCTCTTCCCATCTTTTTGTTCTTTTTTTTCCTTTCCTTTTTAAATTATCAATTTCTCACACCTTTGATTTCTCCATTCTTTCTCACATTTGAAATTAGCAATATCCTCCAACCCTTTTCCCATCTCAAACTCTTTGTTCTTTCTTTTCCTCTTCCTTTTTAAATTATCAATATTCTCACACCCTTTGATTTCTCCATTCTTTCTCACATTTGAAATTAGCAATATCCTCCAACCCTTTCCCATCTCAAACTCTTTGTTCTTTCTTTTCCTCTTCCTTTTTAAATTATCAATATTCTCACACTTTGATTTCTCCATTCTTTCTCACATTTGAAATTAGCAATATCCTCCAACCCTTACCCATCTCAAACTCTTTGTTCTTTCTTTTCCTCTTCCTTTTTAAATAATCAATATTCTCACTTTTTTCCTTCTTTTTTCTCCATTCTTTCTTTCATTTGAAATTAGCAATATCCTCCAACCCTTACCCATCTCAAACTCTTTTCGTCTTTCTTTTCCTCTTCCTTTTTTTTCTTTATCAATATTCTCACACACCTTTCTTTCTCCATTCTTTCTCACATTTGAAATTAGCAATATCCTCCAACCCTTACCCATCTCAAACTCTTTGTTCTTTTTTTTTCCTCTTCCTTTTAAATTATCAATATTCTCACACCCTTGATTTCTCCATTCTTTCTCACATTTGAAATTAGCAATATCCTCCAACCCTTACCCATCTCAAACTCTTTGTTCTTTCTTTTTCCTCTTCCTTTTTAAATTATCAATATTCTCACACCTTTGATTTCTCCATTCTTTCTCACATTTGAAATTAGCAATATCCTCCAACCCTTACCCATCTCAAACTCTTTGTTCTTTCTTTTCCTCTTCCTTTTTAAATTATCAATATTCTCACACCTTGATTTCTCCATTCTTTCTCACATTTGAAATTAGCAATATCCTCCAACCCTTTTTCCATCTCAAACTCTTTGTTCTTTTTCTTTTCCTCTTCCTTTTTTAAATTATCAATATTCTCACACCCTTGATTTTCTCCATTCTTTCTCACATTTGAAATTAGCAATATCCTCCAACCCTTACCCATCTCAAACTCTTTTGTTCTTTCTTTTCCTCTTCCTTTTTAAATTATCAATATTCTCACACCCTTTTTCTCCATTTTTCTCACATTTGAAATTAGCAATTCCTCCAACCTTACCCATCTCAAACTCTTTGTTCTTTCTTTTCTCTTCTTTTTAAATTTCAATATTCTCACACCCTTGATTTCTCCATTCTTTTCACATTTGAAATTTCTCTCCTCCAACCCTTACCCATCTCAAACTCTTTGTTCTTTCTTTTCCTCTTCCTTTTTAAATTATCAATATTCTCACACCCTTTGATTTCTCCATTCTTTCTCACATTTGAAATTAGCAATATCCTCCAACCCTTACCCATCTCAAACTCTTTGTTCTTTCTTTTCCTCTTCCTTTTAAATTATCAATATTCTCACACCCTTGATTTCTCCATTCTTTCTCACATTTGAAATTAGCAATATCCTCCAACCCTTACCCATCTCAAACTCTTTGTTCTTTCTTTTTTCTTCCTTTTAAATTATCAATATTCTCACACCTTGATTTCTCCATTCTTTCTCACATTTGAAATTAGCAATATCCTCCAACCCTTACCCATCTCAAACTCTTTGTTCTTTCTTTTCCTCTTCCTTTTTAAATTATCAATATTCTCACACCCTTGATTTCTCCATTCTTTCTCACATTTGAAATTAGCTTTATCCTCCAACCCTTACCCATCTCAAACTCTTTGTTCTTTCTTTTCCTCTTCCTTTTTTAAATTATCAATATTCTCACACCTTGATTTCTCCATTCTTTCTCACATTTGAAATTAGCAATTCCTCCAACCCTTACCCATCTCAAACTCTTTGTTTCTTTCTTTTCCTCTTCCTTTTTAAATTATCAATCTCTTCTTGATTTCTCCATTCTTTCCACATTTTTCTTTCTCTCAAACTCTTTGTTCTTTCTTTCTTCCTCTTCTTTTAAATTCTTTCTCATTCTTTCTCACATTTGAAATTAGCAATATCCTCCAACCCTTACCCATCTCAAACTCTTTTCTTCTTTTCCTCTTTTTTTAAATCAATATCTTTTCCTTTTTTCTCCTCTTTTTAAATTATCAATATTCTCACACCCCCATTTTTTTTCTCCATTCTTTCTCACATTTGAAATTAGCAATATCCTCCAACCCTTTCTTCCTCACCCATCTCAAACTCTTTGTTCTTTCTTTTCCTCTTCCTTTTTTAAATTATCAATATTCTCACACCCTTGATTTCTCCATTCTTTCTCACATTTGAAATTAGCAATATCCTCCAACCCTTTTCCATCTTTTTAACTCTTTGTTCTTTTCCCATCTTTTTTTTAGCAATATCCTCCATTCTCTTCTTTTCTCTTTAAATTTTTCTCCTCTTTTCTCCATTCTTTCTCACATTTGAAATTAATATCCTCAACCCTTACCCATCTCAAACTCTTTGTTCTTTCTTTTCCTCTTCATTTTAAATTATCAATATCCTCCAATTTCTCCATTCTTTCTCATTTCCTCCAAACTCTTTCATCTCAAACTCTTTGTTCTTTCTTTTCCTCTTTTTTTTTTCTTTTCAATATTCTCTCACCCTTTTGATTTCTCCATTCTTTCTCACATTTGAAATTAGCAATATCCTCCAACCCTTACCCATCTCAAACTCTTTTTTCTTTCTTTTCCTCTTCTTTTTTTTTAAATTATCAATATTCTCACACCCTTTCATTTCTCCATTCTTTCTTTTTCACTTTTGAAATTTCTTTCAGCAATTTCTCCATCCTCCAACCTCTTACCCATCTCAAACTCTTTGTTCTTTCTTTTCCTCTTCCTTTTTTTCTTATCAATATTCTCACACCTTGATTTCTCTCCATTCTTTCTCACATTTGAAATTAGCAATATCCTCCAACCCTTACCCATCTCAAACTCTTTGTTCTTTCTTTTTTTTCCTTTTAAATTATCAATATTCTCACACCCTTGATTTCTCCATTCTTTCTCACATTTGAAATTAGCAATATCCTCCAACCCTTACCCATCTCAAACTCTTTGTTCTTTCTTTTCCTCTTCCTTTTTAAATTATCAATATTCTCACACCTTTGCTTTCTCCATTCTTTTTCTCACATTTGAAATTAGCAATATCCTCCAACCCTTTTTCTCAAACTCTTTGTTCTTTCTTTTCCTCTTCCTTTTTAAATTATCAATATTCTCACACCCTTGATTTCTCCATTCTTTCTCACATTTGAAATTAGTAATATCCTCCAACCCTTACCCATCTCAAACTCTTTTGTTCTTTCTTTTCCTCTTCCTTTTTAAATTATCAATATTCTCACCCCTTGATTTCTCCATTCTTTCTCACATTTGAAATTAGCAATATCCTCCAACCCTTACCCTCATCTCAAACTCTTTGTTCTTTCTTTTTGATCTTCCTTTTTCTCATTTGAAATTATCAATATTCTTTCACTTCTTGTTTTTCTCCATTCTTTCTCACATTTGAAATTAGCTTCTATCCTCCAACCCTTACCCATCTCAAACTCTTTTGTTCTTTTTTTCCTCTTCCTTTTTAAATTATCAATATTCTCACACCTTGATTTCTCCATTCTTTCTCACATTTGAAATTAGTAATATCCTCCAACCCTTACCCATCTCAAACTCTTTGTTCTTTCTTTTCCTCTTCCTTTTTTAAATTATCAATATTCTCACACCCTGATTTCTCCATTCTTTCTCACATTTGAAATTAGCAATATCCTCCAACCCCTTTTTCTCTCAAACTCTTTGTTCTTTCTTTTCCTCTTCCTTTTTAAATTATCAATATTCTCACACCTTTGATTTCTCCATTCTTTCTCACATTTGAAATTAGCAATATCCTCCAACCCTTACCCATCTCAAACTCTTTGTTCTTTCTTTTCCTCTTCCTTTTTTTTCTTATCAATATTCTCACACCCTTTCTTTCTCCATTCTTTTCTCACATTTGAAATTAGCAATATCCTCCAACCCTTACCCATCTCAAACTCTTTTGTTCTTTCTTTTCCTCTTCCTTTTAAATTATCAATATTCTCACACCCTTGATTTCTCATTCTTTTTCACATTTGAAATTAGTAATATCCTCCAACCCTTACCCATCTCAAACTCTTTGTTCTTTCTTTTCCTCTTCCTTTTTAAATCATCAATATTCTCACACCTTTGATTTCTCCATTCTTTTTCACATTTGAAATTAGCAATATCCTCCAACCCTTACCCATCTCAAACTCTTTTCTTTCTTTCTTTTTCCTCTTCCTTTTTTCTTATCAATATTCTCACACCCTTGATTTCTCCATTCTTTCTCACATTTGAAATTAGCAATATCCTCCAACCCTTCCCATCTCAAACTCTTTGTTCTTTCTTTTTCCTCTTCCTTTTTTAAATTATCAATATTCTCACACCCATGATTTCTCCATTCTTTCTTCCATTTGAAATTAGCAATATTCCTCCAACCCTTACCCATCTCAAACTCTTTGTTTTTTTTTTCTTTTCCTCTTCCTTTTAAATTATCAATATTCTCACACCCTTGATTTCTCCATTCTTTCTCACATTTGAAATTAGCAATATCCTCCAACCCTTACCCATCTCAAACTCTTTTTCTTCTTTCTTTTCCTCTTCCTTTTTAAATTATCAATATTCTCACACCTTTTCTTTTCTCCATTCTTTCTCACATTTGAAAATTAGCAATATCCTCAACCCTTACCCATCTCAAACTCTTTGTTCTTTCTTTTCCTCTTCCTTTTTAAATTATCAATATTCTCACACCCTTTTTTTCCATTCTTTCTCACATTTGAAATTAGCAATATCCTCCAACCCTTACCCATCTCAAACTCTTTTGTTCTTTCTTTTTTTTCTTCCTTTTTTCTTATCAATATTCTCACACCCTTTTTTTCTCCATTCTTTCTCACATTTGAAATTAGCAATATCCTCCAACCCTTACCCATCTCAAACTCTTTGTTTCTTTTTTTCCTCTTCCTTTTTAAATTATCAATATTCTCACACCTTTGCTTTCTCCATTCTTTCTCACATTTGAAATTAGCAATATCCTCCAACCCTTTTCCCATCTCAAACTCTTTGTTCTTTCTTTTCCTCTTCCTTTTTTTCTTTATCAATATTCTCACACCTTGATTTCTCCATTCTTTCTCACATTTTTAGCTTATCCTCCAACCATCTCAAACTCTTTGTTCATCTCTTCCTTTTAAATTTTTTCTTTTCTTTTCCATTTTTTCTCTTTTTCATTTTTAAATTATCAATATTCTTCTTTTCCTTTCCTTTTCTCTCATTGTTTTCTCCATTCTTTCTCTCATTTGAAATTTATCCTCCAACCCTTACCCATCTCAAACTCTTTGTTCTTTCTTTTCCTCTTCCTTTTTAAATTATCAATATTCTCTTCTTCTCCCTTGCTTTTTCCATTCTTTCTCACATTTTTGAAATTAGCAATCTCCGTCCTCCAACCCTTACCCATCTCAAACTCTTTGTTCTTTCTTTTCCTCTTCCTTTTAAATTATCAATATTCTCACACCCTTTGCTTTCTCCATTCTTTTCTCACATTTGAAATTAGTAATATCCTCCAACCCTTACCCATCTCAAACTCTTTGTTCTTTCTTTTCCTCTTCCTTTTTTTTTATCAATATTCTCACACCTTGATTTCTCCATTCTTTCTCACATTTGAAATTAATATCCTCCAATTCTCAAACTCCTTTCTTTTTCCTCTTCCTTTTAAATCTCAAATTCTCTTTTTTTCTTTCTTTTCATTTGAAATTAGCAATTTTACCTTTTTTTTCTTTTTCCTCTTCCTTTTTTTTTTCAATTTCTCACACCCTTTGATTTCTCCATTCTTTCTCACATTTTTTTAGCAATATCCTCCAACCCTTACCCATCTCAAACTCTTTTTTCTTTCTTTCCTCTTCCTTTTTTTTTCAATTTCTCACACCCTTTTTTTCTCCATTCTTTCTCACATTTCTTTTTTTTTCTTTTCCTCAATTCCTCCAACCCTTCTTTCTCAAACTCTTTCTTCTTTTTTTTTCTTTTCCTTTCCTTTTTAAATTTTCAATTTTCTCACTCCTTTTTTCTCCTTTTTTTTCTTTTCTTTTCCTCTTTTTGAAATTTTCAAACTATTTGTTTTTTTTTCTTTTTGTCTCAAACTCTTTTGTTCTTTTTTTTCCTCTTCCTTTTTTCTTTCTTTTTCTCAAACCTTTTTTCTTTTCCATTCTTTCTCACATTTGAAATTCTTTATCCTCCAACCCTTTTTTTTTCAAACTCTTTTTCTTTTCTTTTCCTTTCCTTTTAAATTATCAATTCACACCTTTTTTTTTTCCATTCTTTTTCACATTTGAAATTAGTTTTATCCTCTTTTTTTTTCTTTCAAACTTTTTGTTTTTTCTTTTTTTCTTTCTTTTTAAATTTTCAATATTCTCACACCTTTTTCTCCATTCTTTTTCATTTTTTTTTTTATTCCAACCCTTTCTCAAACTCTTTTCTTTTTTTTTTCTTTTTTAAATTTTTCAATATTCTTCTTCCTCTTTTCTCTTTTTTCATTTGAAATTAGCATATCCTCCAACCCTCCTTTCCTCTTTCTTTTTTTTAAATTTTTCTTTTCCTTCTTCTCTTTTTTGATTTTTTTTTCTTTCTTTTCCTCTTCCTTTTAAATTATTTCTCTTTCTTTTTTTCACATTTGAAATTAGCTTTTTTCCTTACCCATCTTTCCTTTTTTTCTTTCTTTTCCTCTTTTTTTAAATTTCAATATTCTCACACCTTTGATTTCTCCATTCTTTCTCACATTTGAAATTTTCCTCCAACCCTTTCTTTCTCAAACTTCTTTGTTCTTTTTTTTTCCTTTCTTTTTAAATTATCAATTTCTCACACCCTTTCTTTCTCCATTCTTTTCACATTTTTTTTCAATTCCTCCAACCTTTCCCATTTCCTTTTTTCTTTCTTTTCCTCTTTCTTTTTTTTTTATCAATATTCTTTTTCCTTTTTGATTTCTCCATTCTTTTTTCCTTTTTTAAATTTCTTTTTTCCTTACTTTCTCAAACTTTTTTTTTTTTTTCTTTTCCTTTTTTTTCTTTTTTCTTTCTTTTTTAGTAATATTCTCTTTTCTTTTTTCTTTTTTTTCTTTCTTTTTTCTTTCTTTCTTTTTTCTCTTTCTTTCTTTTCCTCTTTCTTTTTTTTCAAACTCTTTTTTTTTTTCTTTTCTTTTTTGATTTCTCCATTCTTTTCTTTTTTCTCTTCTTTTTCTTTTGTTTTCTTTCTTTTCTTTTCTTTTTCTTTTTCCTTTTCTTTTTTTTTTTTTTTCCTTCTTTTAAATCTTTCTCACCCCTTTTTCTCCATTCTTTCTCACATTTGAAATTTCTTTTTTCCTCTTTCTTTCTTTTCCTTTTTTGTTTTTCTTTTCCTTTTTCTTTCTTTTTTTTTTTTTCTCTTTTTTTTCCTTTCTCCATTTTTCTTTTCCTTTTTTTTTTCTTTCTTTCCTCCAACCCTTTTCCATCTTTCTTTTCTTTTTTCTTTTCTCTTCTTTTTTTTTCTTTTCTTTCCTTGATTTTCTTTCTTCTTTCTCACTTTTGAAATTTTTTCCTTTCTTCCTTTTC